GAGGCCACTTCGGATTCCTAAAAACCCTACACTTACTGAGAAGACAGTTCTGGTGGCCAAAAATGAAACCTGATGAGGACTATGTAAAAAGTTGCTCAATTTGTGCCACAATGAAACACAGAACTGGTAAAACCCCTGGCCTCCTGCAACAAGTTGCTGAACCAACCTAACCTTGGGAAGAGATCGCACTGGACTTTATTGTTAAATTACCTAAGAGTGAAGGGAATACGACCATTGGGACTATAATTGACTTATTCTCTAAACAGGCCCATTTTATAGCCTGCAAAGGACTTCCATCTGCGAAAAATCTTGCAAAGCTGTTTGTGAAACATATCTATAGACTACATGGAGTACCTTGTAGAATATTAGAAGAGGGGTACAATTTACTGCAAAATTTTGGAGGGAATTTCTGAAATCCATTGGTTCCTCTCAAGGGTTATCCTCTTTCCATCCTCTTGTAATGGAGCAGCAGAGAGGGCTAATGCCATGATTGAACAATACATTAGATACTATGTAAATTATCAACAAGAAAATTGGGCTGAGTTGCCTTTTGCAGAGGTTGTTTACAATAATGCAGTACATAGCAGCAGGGGATTAACTCCATTCCAAATCAACACTGGAATGGATTTTGTCCCAATGTCAGAGTTACCTAGACAACCTCCGTCATCCATGTCCCTAACAGAATGAACTCATTAAAGAAAGAGTGGGAAGATACAAAAAAAGCTTTGAACAAAGCTGCAAAAAATTATAAAAAACAGGCGGATAAACATAGATCCCTTCAACCGCCTTTTAAAGTTGGGGATAAAGTATATTTGTTGACCAAGTATCTTAGATTGAAACTGCCCAGTAAGAAGCTGGGTCCAAAATTCTTGGGTCTGTTCCCAATTTCAAAGAGAATCAATCTGGTCACTGTCCAATTAAGTCTTCCTTGAATATTGGGGAAAATTCATCCAGTATTCCATTGTAGTTTATTAAAACCAGCTACTACATCAATGATAAGACCACCACCAATCACTCTCCACCCCAACCCATTAATGGTACAGGGGAAACACATTATGAAATTCAAAAAATTCTCGATTGTAGATTACGGCATGGCTGATTGCAATATCTGGTCTTATGGAAAGGATACTGTCTCTCGGATGCTAGTTTGGTAAAGAGTTGGGATGTTCATGCTGATCAATTGGTTAACTAATTCCATGAGGATTTTCCCCACAAACTGAAGGGTCCTCGTGAGGGTGGAGAGGGGGTTAAAGAAAATGTATTAACCCCTGTATCTGGTTTTCTTTTCTTTTCTTTTAGGAGGAGGAGTTTTCAAGGGGGGGGACGCCTGTCAGCTTTAAAATTCAGCTGCCACATTTTTTTAAGAGAGTTGGAGGAGTTGAAAAGTTCAAGGTTATTCTGTATGTCGTATTAAGAAATTCCAGTGGCAGTTAATTGGTTCTCGTGATTTATGAACTGTAGAAGTAGGAGGAGAGAAGATGGATTCTGTGGAACGCGTGAAAATAATTTCACTTTGGGAAATTTCCTTTGACATGCCAGATCTGTTCCTAAATAAATCAATTAGAGAGAAATGTCTCGGAGTGATTGATATCATGGATACTTTCTGGATGCCTTACATATGTATTATTATGCATACAATATATACAAAAAAGTATGATATAAAACATTAGAGTAATAGAATTTTAATGTTAATTGTGGTAAAAGAATTGTGTTCACTGCCAGCTCCCTATTCTTGATTCCAATATAACATACAGCACAGACTGCACTTAAAGTAACTCCAGAAGAGGAAGTGTTCAAAGCACCACTCTGTTCTGTTTTATTGCATGAGTTTCAATTGCTGAGCTTGAAGTGTTTGAAATAGCATCATGTACTCAATCCCTGCCCTTCTTATCTTATGTATTTAATAGGGAGGGGCTGCTGGGTGAGCGCCAAAAGTTATAAATACCTCAGCAAAGCAAGAAGTAGTGAAGTTTCTTCAAAAGAGGCAATTCTCAGGCCATTTCTGAAGAAACCAAATGTGGTTCCAGAGGATGAAAACAACTGTAATTGGTTAACATGCTAGTACTTAATATGCTCTTCCTTCTTTCTTCCTTATCAATGGCTGATCAACTCCAGGCTCGCTTGAATGAGACATATTTTCTAGATCTTTTTCAATGTGAGTTGAAGTTTAGTTATGGAACGGAAATTATTTTGGTTGCTCTGTAGCAGACTTGGGCATTTGGCCTTTGACTGTCCCTGTCTGGTTGGGAGAGGCAGCAATGGGGAGAGGGCAGCCCTCCACAATAGTCCCAGTTTCTCAAGTCATCCTTTGGGAAAATTAACTGCCCATTCCTTCTCTATGTGATCACCTGTGACATAAAAGACCCAATCTAACCCAATCTAGGGGGAGTGCATCCCTATTAGTTCTGCTGGACCTTATCAGCAGCTTTTGATTCCCTCAATATTTTTTTTCTGGATAGGCTGTTGGAGTTAGGATGAGGAGGTCACTGTATTAAAGTGCTTCCACTTCTATTTAGATGTCTGTTTCTTCATAGCAGTTGAATTATTGAGTGCCTCGGGATTCTTTTGAGCTGAATGATTGTTCTGAGGTTAATGATTATACTGGCTGCTGTTTTAACTGTTTCTGTTTTTGTTAGGCATTGTGAATGGTCTAGGTTGGAATCTTAGAATATAAATCAAAATGATAAATAAATAAAATGTGTAACACCAGACATGGGGCTGCCAACAGCAATTTTAAGAAATCAATGTGTACTTAATTGAAAATTATGCTGTTTTTACTCATATCAGAGTTTGAAAACAATTACCACTATGCTTTAGAATAGCCCACATTTAATAAAAATTGTTTTCAGAGTTGCCAACTTCTGCTTCTCAAATAAATCCTCACTTAGATTTGTAGGAAGCTATTCCAAACAAAGGTTTTGGTGTATTGCTCACAATAAGTTATATCTCAGTGTCACATTTTGTTTTGTTTGAAAAAATGCATTTATTGCAACTTGAAGAGCTTTAACTCTAGACCCACTGCCTGAATATTGCACGCTGGTTTATTTCTGACCTGTACATATGAACAGCTCTTAGTCAGGTCCAGGTTCACTTTATTTCTGTTTTTATTTCTCACATTAGCCAACAAGATGCTTCTGGGCTGTTTCTCAAGCAGTAGACACGCTCACCTTCCATCACTTTCCCAGGAACCAGTAATTGGAGGTATCTGCTGAGAGTTAGCACTGTATCTTCAATAACAATAGCTCTGACTAGACCGATTCTCCATGAATTTATCCAAAGCCCTTTTAAAGCTATTTAAATCACCATGTAAAGGTAATTACATGGTAATTACCAACTTTCCCTAAATGAATTCCATAGGTTTGTTACATGCTGTATGAATAACTCCCCCCCCCCTCCCAATTCTAAACTTCTTTGAATCAGTTTCATTAGATGGCCCTATCCCTGCTCAGATGTTTTTTCCTCCCAAGCTAAGGATTCCCAGACATTCTTGGTTTTTCTCATACAGAAGATTTTGAACCCCTGATGATTTTCATTGCTCTTTTTTGCATGTTGTTTTATATCCTTTTCTCTAACGGTGGCAACCAGACTGTATAAAGTACTTCAGATACAGACATACAACACATTATTTGTATAAGGGTATTACAGTGTTAACAATGCAGTTTTATTGTTGATCTCTTAAAGAACGCCTAGTATGAAATTTGTTTCCCCCCCCACATCAGCCATGTACAATGAATTGACATGACCAGTGAACTATCCACTATAATTTGAAGACATCTCCATGATAAATTGCAGACAGTTTAAACCTGTTCTATGCCAGTAATTATAAGTGCAGGAGGTCAGACCTAACAGATTAGAGTACTTTATGGCAGCTGTGCACTTTATTGCAGTGCAGGAATGTGAGAGCGCAGGAAAACAAACAAGCTGACTTCAGATGCTAAAGTTCCATACAGGTTAGGTCTAAGACCGGAAAGGTGTTTAGCAATAGAAGTGAAAGCTCTTTTTTAATAGTTCTGATTGAGACATGCCTATTTTCTTGAGTCATATCTTTTTCTTTGAGGGGCCTCATAGAAGGTCTTTTTTCTTCCCTTTGTATGAGGACTATGGATCATCATCATCATCAATCAATCAGAAAAGAGCTGGACGGGACCTTGGAGGTCTTCTAGTCCAAACCCCTGCTAAGATCCTATACCATTTCAGATCATTTTACAATAGGCAATGATAAATTCTATGTTTATAATAATGACAAAAATATATTTGCATAAAAATCATGTAGGAAATAAATCAGGCAAGTCAGCACTTGCTTCCCTTCCTGTGAGAAGGATTTTCTTCCATTTTAAGTGTTCTGAAATATGTGGGCAATGCTGATTCTTTAAAACATATGTGAGATTAGTAATTTTGAACTGACCATACCTATTGCCAGGTCTCATGTCAACACAATTATTTTTCATATTCTGCTTTCTCATTCACATACTGTTTCCAGAACAGTAGCTATATAATCTGGCACTAATTAAAGCAGTTTGTACCTTTTCATTTAAAAATGATCCAATCACCTATCTATGTATTATATTTCAAGCAGCAGAAAGGAATCGACCTTCTAAATAAACAAATATCCACAGAGTCAGAAGAGAAGCTAAGGCTGTGGCCCCCACCGTCTGGAATATTTTCCCACTGGAAAATAAGCCTGGCTTCCATACGCCTGGCCTTTTGGAAGAGCCTTAAACCTGGCTCTGTTGGCTGCCTGGTATTCTGATAGGGGTGCTCTAAGTGCGAGGTGGTTGATGGGTTAGAGAAAAACCCCACATTGCCTATTATCTTGTTTTTTAGTTTCTTATTTAATCTTTTTAACTTTAATCAATTTAATTTTTTAACCTTTTATTAGTTTTATCAGAATTTGCCTGTGCCTTTTGAGAAGAATGACAAATAATGTAAGCAAATGAACATTCTTCCAGTCACATCAGCAAACTGTGTATACAGAAGCAACATTACAGGTTAATACTCACCACATTAAAATTAAGGTTTTTTTCTACCCACTCTTTGGCTTCTTTGAATTCTTCTTTCATTTCCATGATATACAGAGTATCTAAGGCATCAACGATAGTTGCTCCTTGAATATTACCTGAAAAAGAGTCAGCAACTTTATTGATAAGTTTTTTTTCCCATATTTATGAAGAGAGAAGTTATAGCAATATTCATGTTTAAATTTCTAGACTATTAGTTAACTGTTCTAGTCCTTTGTACAGTCTAATCCATTGTACAATTGATATTTTAGCAACAATGAGAACTAACAAAAACTGAAATAGAATGAAAAAAACAGAAAGAGAAAAAAAAAGTGCAGATAAGAAAAAAATATATAAGGAAAAATAAAATGAAGCTTCTGATCTTCTTTATAGTAGCAATAATTACAGTTATATTTAACCCTCTTCTTTCTATAATCTATCCTATTTGATATCAAAACCATAAATTATAGGTTCATTTTCCTCCCACAAAAAGTCCACAGTGGGTTTCCAGTTATCAATAAATGTAGCTATTATCTTTTCCTTAACCAAACATCAATTTAAACATTCAGCAAGTTGTCTCAAAGGTGCTTTTTTAAAAAAAAGGAAAAAACCATTTGAAAAAGCATCATCGAGACAACTATGATCTGGATAACTGAGAATCTCCACAGACATTTTGCAAGTTCTATTATCTCCAAGAATTGCTAATTTTTCCATGCTGATGCATTCAATAATCTTATATATTAAAAGCAAAGTTCTGCGACTCTTTTCTAGTTGTTTATCCATCAGTTCCAGGAAGAAAAGTTAATTTTGATTGATAGATTCTATTACCACATTAAACTTTAAAGGCTCTCAATGGTTGATGTGGTTGAATTTCATTCAGTGATTGATGAAATATATCTAAAATATCTTTCTGGCAATACAGGCACATTAAAATGCCTAGACGTGATGAGTATTATTTCTCTGAAAGTATTATCCAAGTTAATTGGACTACCCCTGTCAACAGTAACATTATGAAACTCTCTTACACCAATAGCTCAAAAATAATACTACCACACTATTCCAGATCTGTTATGTGCATAAATACTTTGATTTTTCCATAATACCTTAAATTTCAATCAGGGAAAAACTGAATCGGTTGTCAAGGATTCAAGTGGAAAAGGTAAAGGTTAAAGTTTCCCCTGTCCATTCATGTCCAGCTCTAGGGGGCCATTTTCATCTCCACTTTTTAGCTGGGGGAGTCAGCATTGTCCAAAGACATTTCCATGGTCATGTAGCCAGCATGACTATGCGCTGAGGTGCAGGTAACCTTCCCACTGAAGTGATATTTATTTGTCTATTCACATTTGCATACACTTTCAAACTGCTAGGTGGGCAGGAGCTGGCCATTAATGAGGGCTCACCCCATTACATAGCACTGAGGTCTCAAATCTGGATTGTCAGCTGAAAACTCAGCATCTTTAACTGCTAAGCCATTATGCCCACTCTTCAACTAGAAAATATGACTAATATTTATGAGAAAGCAGTTCTGTTGTTAGTTGAGCAATGTTATATTATATAACACAGACAAATACAATACAGAAGCCTGATGATGGCAGATGAGATTCTGCCGAAACGTTGCTACAACTTTAAAAGCACAACTACAATGACGTGGGAAAATACCCGAACAAAGCTGAATACTAGATAGATAGATAGATAGATAGATAGATAGATAGATAGATGTAGATACACACACACACACACAAATTTATGCCACCAGATAAAAATTGAATGTACCAATTATCACATTAAATGAGAAGAAAACCTTCTACGCACCAATTCCACCTGCGCTTTCTACAATTTTATAAACAACAAACTAAAAGACTCAAGGTCCATCCCATCTCTGAAAGGACCTAATAGTAAAGACTGCAACAACGACACTATTAAAGCCAACCTCTTTAACACATTCTGTGGCTCAGTATTTATAAACAGCAATGGATCATGTCCAGCATTTCCTAGTTGAACCACAGACAACTACAATGATCTAATACATATCAATTTTACAGAAGACATTGTTGAAAAAGCACTGCACAATCTAAAACCATCCCTATCTATTGGACCGGACGGAATATGTGCCTACTTCTTCAAAAAGCTACCCACTGCCATAGCCGAACCTCTAAGCATAATCTTTGAAAAATCTTTCAGGACCAGCTCCCTGCCAAAACTATGGTCACAAGCCACAGTCATCCCCATTTTCAAAAAGGGAGACCCCAGCCTAGTTGAAAATTACAAACCAATCTCTTTATGCTGCGTCACCTGTAAAGTCATGGAATCAATTATTAACCAATCCATCATCGTCCACTTAGAGACAAACAACCCACTCTCTAATAAACAATAACAGCACTAGAGCAAACAATAGATACAAACTCAAGGTTAATCACACCAAACTTGATTGCAGGAAATATGACTTCAATAACAGAGTGGTCAATGTCTGGAATACTCTACCTGACTGTGTTTTCTTCCCCAAACCCCAAAAACTTTAACCGTAGACTGTCTACTATTGACCCCACCCCTTTCCTAAGAGGTCTGTAGGGGGTGTGCATAAGCGCACCAATGTGCCTACCATCCCTGTCCTATTGTTTCATGCACCAATTATCACATTAAATATATATATATATATATATAT